GTAATAAATAGTTAGCTAAATAAATTGAGCCTGTATATATACACCATTGTATAGCACTTGGGAGTATCAATCAATGAACGAAATCCTGTTTCTCACTTCTCTCTGTTCCATTCCCTCTTCTTCTCTCTATTCTCTAATCCCCTTTCCCCTTCTAATGCTTTTCTTAGTGAAGGCAGTCCCCTCATTCCAGTGATATTTGCTTGTACACTGATGTTAAGAATTAAATAGAGAGGAGAAGGCAACGATAGAAATAAAAGAGGAGAATTTACCAGAGTGGTCTGATAGCGAAGAAGGGGATTACCAAGAGCAACGAGATACAGCGTCAGGCGAAGGCTGCATCGACAATTCTTTTTTTTTTTTTCTGAAAAGGACGGACGAGGGGAGATGTTAAGGGCTTGCGGTGACTATTCCTTGTTTGACAAAAAGAGTGACCAACAGATTTTTTTATAAAAATAGAAGAAAAAATGTAATCCATAACCCAAACAGATTGGAACTCCAGTTAAAGTTTATGGTATCAAAGTTTGAAGAAGAAAAATTAATCAATTATGCTCAACTTGCTCATATGCGGAAAAGTGAACAAAAATATATATATGTGAAAACAAATATATCCTAATTACAATAATATTTATTTATTCATTCATGCTATATTTACACAATACTTGAGGTGTTCATTGTTCAATCTGATTCAATTTTTACCTAAAAAGCAACTAAATCAACAAAGTCAATTTTTTGTTAATTTTTATTTGGTCTTTTAATTTTCTCTATTTCACATGTTATTCTAATTTAATCAATTCAAGTTATTACAGTAAAGAAATAAATTTATTTATGAGTAGATATTTTCGATAGAGAATAAAGTATCTACAATTTTTTTTTACAAGTACAAATAATGCAATAGTGTTAAAGTTAATATGAGATAAAAATTAACCATACTTAATATTCAGATAAATAAAAAATAATAGTTTCTTAAATATTATTATCAAACTACATATTTTACCTCCCTAACATAAAATAATTAATAAGCTTCATCAATACTGTAATTTAAATTAGTATTCCCTCAAGATTAAATACATAATTACTTTCAAATTTGACATAGAACTTAAAACATGAAGATTAGGGGCAGGTGTTCTCGCAGTTTGGATTGGATATGAAAATTTCGGTTTGGTTTTCGGATTGAAGAAATGACAATCCAACTCCAATCCATATAAACTCGGATTGGATCGGATCTTTTAAGTTCAGCAAACCGAGACCCGACCGGTCGTTTTGAGCTCTAGCGCGTCGTTCGACAGTTTGAGGCCATGAACATCTTCACTTCAGGTACTATGACTCGTGCGCGTGGTTGTAATTGGAATTCGGGAAGTTTGGAGTCGATTTGGAAAGAGAATTCTATTTCGGAAGCTTTAAGTTGGAAGAATTAGCTAAGTTGTGATTTTTGAATAAACGACCTCTGAATCGGGATTTGAAGGTTCCAACAGGCCTTCGTATGATGATTTGGGCCTTGGGCGAATGTCTAGATTGGGTTTTGGATGACTCGGGTACACGTTGTTTTCGCACTCATACTACGTTCGGGAGTGAACAACTCAACCTAATATACATCAATGACTTATATTAGAGAAGAACTCTAGCTGCTTCTGCGATCCCTCCCATAGCTGCCAATGTCCGCTTCTGCACTGCCAACATCGCACCTGCGATGTCGCAGATGCGTTCCACTGCTCCGCTCCTGCGATGAACGCCCAACACTGCCCAGCCCCCTTTCCAGTCGCTTCTGCGACGAGTTTCATGGTTCTACGATGTCACTTCTGCCTAAATGTTGTCCAGAACAGCAGAAAAATTAGCATCTTCAATGTCCAAAATCAACTCCGCTAACCTTCCAAAATCCACCCGAGGCCCTCGGGACTTTAACCAAGTATGCCAACATGTCCTAAAATACAATACGAACTTAGTCGAGGCTTTAAACCACGTCAAACCACGCCGAAATTACGAATCACGCATCGAATCGAATTATGAGTTTTCAAATCTTCCAACTTCTATATTTTGCGCCGAAGCAAATCAAATCAATTCGGAATGACTTCATATTTTGCACGCGAGTCATAAATGATATACCAGAGCTGTTCCAATTTTTGGAATCGAAATCCGGCCTCATTATCAAAATTTCGACCCTCGGCCGAATTTTCCAAAAAAAATCTTCTATTTTCCAACTTTCGCCAAAATGTGTCGAATTGTCCTAACTCCTAAGGACTTCCAAATCAAAATCCGGACACGCGCCTACGGAAAAAATCACCATACGAAGCTATTGACATCATCAAAACTCCATTCCGAAGTCGTTGCTCAAAAGTCAACTCTCCGATCAACTCTTTCCATTTAAGCTTCGAAATGAGAATTTTTCTTAAAATTTAATTTCGAATCTTTCGAAAACCAAACTCGACGGCACACACAAGTCATAATACATATTACAAAGTTGCTCGGGACCTTAGGTTGCTGAACGGGATGTTAATTCTTAAAACGACATATCGGGTCGTTACGTCCTCACTGTAATCATCCAAATACATTATTCAATTAATGAAATCATTATCAACCAAATGCACAGAGACATTAATATGGCCGATAAGAAGTAACAATAATAAAACCATCTCCAACTAGAAAGTATTCTTATTAGGGATGTATATAAGTCGGTTCAGTTCGGTTGTGAATGTTATTGGCTCGATACATCGGTTATCGGTTTATAAATATGCTAAACTAATAATCGAACCGATAAGAATAGTGGTTATCGGATATCGATTAATCAGTTGTCGATCATTACGATTTACCCGATAAGATAACTTAATTTAGAGGAAAAAATATGGTGTACAACACTAATTAATCTTATACCTTGATTCCTTCACTTGTGTTCCGAAGAGTGAACAAAAGTTTTGTGGACATTGGGGGATCAATCAGCAGAATATACTGAACACTAGGAATATTAGAGGATCATAATTACAACAGTTTCTTTCCTACCAAGAATTAAGAGGTTTTGTCAAGTGTACTTATCCAAACAGAGTAGAAACAACACAAGTAGTAGCAATTACACCTTGAAAATTAAGAAGTCCAAACATAGTACGGGTTAAAAATAATATTTTGATAAAATTTATTGGTTATCGGTCCTTCATCCTTTATAGCCGAGGGTCAATCGGAAACAGTCTCCCTACCCTGGAAGGGTAGGGATAAGGCTGTGTACATCCTACCCTCTCCAGACCCCACTTGGTGAGATTATATACGGTAGTTGTTGTTGTTGTTGTTATTGTTATTGGGTTATCGGTTAAATCGTTAATAAAATGGAGCAAACCAAGACACGAACCGATAACTCAATAGTAAATTAACACAAAACCGTTAAAGACATTTCACCCAATAACCCGATACCGATAATTCAATAAATATTTTTCGGTTCAGGCTATTGGTTTTACCCGATATATGCCAATAGTAACTTTGTAATTAATATTGAGTATATTAAAATCTAATGGGTGGGGTATTGGATGTTGTACTATTGGCATATGGATAATGTACTAAAAATATAATGTATAAAAATTTTAAATTTTTGAATATCCAAAAATTTGAAGTACCAAATTCAATATCCAATCTGAAATCCAAAAATTATAAAAATTAAATCCAAAATCTAATCTGTAATCCGAAAATCCAAACCAAACATTCGGATTTGGGTTTTTCAAAGCTATGCCCACCCCTAATGAAGTCCAATGGCAAATGAAGATACAAATTTGGACTATCTATTTTCTACAAATGTTCAATTAAAAAATTCACTATTACAATGTCCAATTAAATAATATGCAATACTATGGCTCGTTATTTGAGTTACTCTCAATTTTACCAATGAGTTGAGCTTTTATCATTCATTTGTTATAGAATTATATGAGCGTCAACAAAGCTTATTAGGGAACTCAATGTATCATTTGCGTAAGAGTTATTGGACGAGCCCTGAGCGTTAAGCGTGAAGTGTTATAGGCATGTTCAACATGCACAGTCGAGCGCTTGGGACATAAACCTCATGAAACTTTGCCCCACGTACGTGTAAGTGTCTGGGTGTTTTGATACTGCCCCGCCTAGGCGGAGCCCCAGACGAGTTCCAGAAAAGCCTTTTAAAATAGAAATGTGTCGATATTTTATTGGATAGGAAATTTAAAAGGAAGAAGGACTTATTAAATTGGGGTTTAAAAAGGTCATAGAAATTTATGTGCCTATTCATTTCATCACGGTATAAGGAAAAGTTTAAAATTAAATTATTGGTTTGATTTTATCGATTGTTTTGATTTTTCTATCAGTTTCTTAATAAAAGACGTAAAAAATATATTATTAAACACATATTATAGCAATTATATTGAATTACTTATTAAGAAAAGTTGTTAATTCTCAAGATATTTTGATGATAATTGAATAATGATGAATAATTTAAGGACTCAATTAAATTTAAAAAATTATTTTTAACATGGAATAAATTCTACAAACCAAAATAGAATATAAACTATACTATAAGTGCAAAAATTAGGCTACGAACCAAGAGCGCAAAAACAATTTGTAAAGTAAAATTTTATATAATTATAATTTCTAAATAGGTATTTATATATCAATCTGGTTCTACTTTTTCGATTAATTTTTTGCTTAAAACCAAATAATTAAATTTTATATGTTCTTAAAACTAAAAATCAAAATCAAATCAAATAGAATGTTGATTTTTTTTTTCTCCGATTTGATCCCTTTACTATTTGGTTCAATTTCTCGTGAACACCAAGATAGTTAAATCAATTTTTGAAATAAATCTTTTGAATATTGTATTATTGTAGTACATATTTGATATAGCTTATTTATAACATAAAGGCATCCAAAATTGGGATATGTACTAAAATAAAGTTTCATTTTAGTATTATTTTCACAAGGTAAAGTTTCTTTTTACTATTTTTTTACATAAGTTGGTTATATATATAAAAGTTGGCTGTATATACTATTTTTACATAAGTTGGCTGATATTTTAAAGTTAGTGGGAGAGGGAGATAAAGTTAGGGTTTAGAAGAAAAATCGGGTAAAGCACTTCTCCACTCCCTTCCTTGGCATAACTCTTCAACCTCCTCCATACCCACCAAACTCGTCCATACCCACCAAATAGAATTCCACAACATTGTAAAATGGAGGAAGAAACCGTCTTTTGGCGCTGGTTTTTGGGATTTTTGGCTCCAAACGAATGTCAGGATAACCACTATATATATATGAGAAAAATGACTGGAAAAAATACATTGCAAAGTGAAGCAAAATTTCTGAACAGGTATGTATCATTTCACCTACTCTATGTTTGAATAAGATTCAATAGATTGTTATTTGCCACAATCATTTATCGAATTATTAATTCATTAATTATTTGTGGCATAGACATTGATATGCTTTTATTTTGTCTCATATGATCAATCTAGATGAGAATAAATCAATTAGAAGATTTTGAAACAGAAACCCTTTAATTTACTGTGTATATTTAGAGTTTTTAGTTTACTGTGTATATTTATAGTTTTGCATGGTGTACTGAAGGGGAAATATTAGATATTATCAGAGTAGGCATCTATTTTGTGTATATATTGACGTTTTCTGTCTGGATTCGAGGGAAGAGTGGATGGATTGTGGAAATATGGTATTACAGCTTCTGTTTGAGTCAAATCATGCTTCTTGGTGGCCCTTAGGAATTTGTTTGATCGGATAATGGCACTTTAAATTTAGATGAACTGAACCAAAGTGTTTTAAGGTGAATATTCTGTAGGGTAATTTATATTTTTGTTGAAACCAGTAAATATTTTTTCACTAGGCTCAATCTTTGTCAGACACACGGCTTCTTTTAAATCTGCTGCATGTATAACTTATAAGATATTTGGTATAAGTTATTGAAAAAATTTAATATAATGGAAAAATAAAGGAGCTGTTGATAGTTCCCATGCTATTTCTAGTTTTGATATGTCTTAATAATTTTGATATCGCTGCCCAAGTAAGTCTAGTGCCTCTTCTCTTGCTTTTTCTTGCCAGTCAATCTGCAGTGCTAGAAGAAAAATAGTCCATGAGAGCAATGTCTGAGTTGTTTCTTGTTCAGCATTCATAAATTATTTCTTCAAATATGATCTTCTCTCTTCCAGCAGTATCATGATTAGCTTTCAAAAGCATTCCAAGATAATATGTTGTAATGTTGTCCATATTGTTTACCATTGCACACACTCTTTTCTTGATTATCTCTGTGAAAAGTTGCTGGATTTTTCTTTCAACTTTCACGGTTGAAAAACTTCCATTTATACGGTATACGTTTTTGAAAACATAGTTTATGTGCCTTCAAATTAGAAAAATTTCTACATAAATAGATCTTTGGTATGTTATACTAATTACTTAACTCGGCTAGTGATGCTTCAATAATTCAATAAATTTTAGGAGAAGAAGACAGTAAACTCTTATTAGGAAATGATGTGCATCAGGCTTTCCAGATTGATGATTTATGTTCTTTTTGAGTTTTTCTTTAGTTATTTCTAACTTTTGGTTTGTTAAACTAATAGATTTTACATCTAATGAATATACTAAAATTATATAGTATTTTTGGTAGAATTCTACAAATCAATGGCACCAGGCGGACGAGTCTCTAGACAAACCACAATTACAGGTGCTTCTACTCAAGCAAGCCGATCATCTGATCCATCAAATAGTAATAATCCTACTCCTAATACAGGTAATACGTACCTTTTATTATATTGACTAGGAGTGTATCTATTAATTATTGTTTGTTCTCCTTTTTTCTGATGCTTATTGCTCATTGTTGTCAGTGTACTATTTTGTTATTGTTTATTCTTATGGATCCTTTTTTTGGCTTGTTCTGTGCATTCCATATTGTTTTTCTATATGCAGCAAGTATATCCTGCACTTTCTAATTCAGACTTTTGGTAGTACTATTTTTATTGAAACCTTTGCTGTAAAATTGAAGTAATTTCTTATGGTCGGGTCAATTCTATTGCAATTCGAAGGTATATTGGGGATTTTCATTTCTGTGGAAGTCATTATCTGATAAATTACATTGCACCCATTCTTTCTTATTGGTTTTAGCAAATACTAAGGGTAGCCAAGAACTTCACACCTATTGCAATATTATTCTTGAGTTTATCTTTATAAAACAAACGGATTGTGTTTAAAAGAGGGGATGTAAACACAGTTTCTGATTGTCGCCCAATAAGAAGTTTCAACAAATTCTTACTTTCCTCGACTAGAAAGAAATATCAATCTTTATATTCCAGCATCTAGGATTCTTTTGTGTTTAAGTTGGAACCAAATATATTAACATTTGAAACATTCATTAATGTTAAACTTGAAACAGTAGAGTTCTCATTTGTAGCATGACAATTAATTACTAATATATATATATATATATACATGGTTACCATTTAAGAATTTTAGCAAGTATTTTGAACTGATTTTTACTTTTTAAAATCAGATGATTCAACTAGAATCAGGAAAGGTCGTGGAAGGACAATGGGAAAAGGTCTTGAGAAAATGAAGAAGTCTATGGGGAGAAAGATGGTTATAGACATCCCTGTTGGTAAAGGAAGGCCAGTTAAGGCAATTCCATCAGCAAAGCTATCAAATGAGTTAGGAATTATTGCTCGCAACTTTCTTTCGCTTCCAAACAAGTGGAAGGAACTCACAAGAGATGATAAGGATGCAGCATTAATTAGATGCCATGTAAGGATTCTATATTTTGGTAAATTTTATTACATTATAAATATGTTAGTTTTTAATCTTTTACCAGCAAAGGAATTTTTGATTGTTTTGTGAGTGTCTTCAAAACTTCTCATTTTGTAGGAGAAGTTTGAAATTAACTTGGACGAGCATTACACCAAAGATAGCTGTGAGGATATTCTGAAAAATAGAAGCCGACAATGGCGCTACAAATTAAAAAAGCTATTTGAAAGTGCAAGCTCCGAGGAAGAGGCTCGTAAAATTAAAGTGCCGGAGTTGACCCCGGAAAATTGGAACAGGCTCTGTGACATGTGGGCGAATCCAGAGCATAAGGTAATTTCTATTCATATTTGTCTCGTTATATGTTTTTTCTGGCAACCAACATTCATGATTTCTCAAAGAAAAAGGTAATTTAAGTAATTAAGTATACGAACAAACAAAATATACAGAAGATATTTTAAGAACATATTTTTCTCTACTTTGTAGCTGCAACATTCATTCATGGATGATATGGCTTACATTAATATGAGTAGACCCTTACAGAAGATACAAATAAGAGTAGAAAATAAACTGGAAGTAAAAAAGAGAAAAAAGGATCCTTTAAATGCCTCTGAAAAATGCAACCTTTGAGAAGAGCTTGATGTGGTTCTTTAGTTTATGTCCACTCTTTTATGCTAACATCTGAGAACTTATAGTGCGAAATTCAGTGTTAGAAAAAGTTGTCGCTTCCTCGCTTAAAGCGAGAAGCGAAGCGAAGCGACCCCTTCCTCGCTTCTGCCATGTGAAGCGACTCAGGTAGGAAAAAGTGACCGCTTCCCACTAAAAAGCGAGAAGCGACCAAGCGACGCGTAGCGGAAGCGAGCGCTTCTTTGTTTTAAACAGCTGCCAGCCTATTTAATTAAAAAAGAAGGGTTTTCAGTGTTCTTTTATTAAACACAACCAGCAGAGCATCTGAGTCTCTCTGCGACTAGGGTTCTTCAACAGAGATTCCAGCAACAGGTATGTGATGATTTTCTCTTCTTCTTCTGATTTCTTCTCTTCTTCTCCTGACTTCTTCTTCTTCTTTTTCTTCTGACTTCTTCTTCTTCTTCTTCTTCTCTTTCACTGTTTCAACGTCCAAATAGTAGCGAAATGCTGGCGATTTTTTTTTTACCTCCGGTTCTTTCCCAGAATCCAGCAACAGAATTTTTTTTACCTTCAGTTCTTCTTTCACAGTTTCTTAGTTTTTATTGCCTTTTCTTATGTGCTATGTAGTTGTTCTTTTAATGGCACCAAAAGAAGATAGGTACATGTGTTGTCTATGCAGTTTCGCTTCTCGCTTTAAGCGAAATGGGGGTTGTCGCTTTTCCTCGCTTCATGCTATTTTTAACACTGGTGCGAAATGATAATAAGCTTTAGTATCATATTTGTTTCATTATAATTTTATTTACTTATATTTATATATTCTTTGTAGAGACGATGCGAGATAAACAAGGGTCAAGAGCTTTTGTAGCTGCTCGTGCTGAAATAGTAAGTTATACTATTTTTACTTTTTTGTAACTTTTCCAATCTCTATGCTTGGTAGGCGAAGTCTGAAATCTCAAGGGACATTTTTAATATTCAAAATGGTGAAAAAAAGAAAAGATCTTGCACATACTTTTAAGTATTGCTATTTTTCATTCATAATTCACATCAAGTTATTTTCTTGCTGTTGTTGTGCAAGTTTTCTTTTTGCAATTGCTGAGTATTCTAGAGCTTGTTTGGCCTATTTATTGCTGTTGAGGCTCTGTTTGTGACTCGTTGTTGGATTTCTAGTTTTCTTATATGGCATTTCGTGAACCGGTTAGCTTCTTTTGCTTTGCTGATATCTGGCTTCGTCTTGTGAGGATCATCTGCCGTGTTGGCTCTGAACTCCATATTTGCACTGGGATCAATCACTTCTTTAACCACTTGTTTCCATGTTAATGCAGTTTATGAGTGTTTTGATAACATAACTTGGCACTTAAAACTAGACATATAACTTAGTTAAATATTAGACTTTTCATGCTCTTAAGTAGTAAATTACTAGAACTTGGCTGTTAAGATCTTATTATGTTTTGGTGTAAACTGGAACTTTGTAA